TAACAATTAAGTTTACTTTATTCCATAATGCGAATATCTTTTATTTTGCAACATCAATATGAAATAAGTAAAGAAAAGGCTAATTCGATTAAAGTTAGATCTCGGTGCTTAATAATATTTTTATGTGTAAATTCTAAAAAAATACATTTTTTAGTTAATAATTTAGTAATACAAAGTGTGCGTCGTTTATTTTGTCAGACTTTAAGCACAATTATAAACTAAAGCTGAAATAATTCCACGATTAAAATGATCGTTTGATAAAGATACTATGTCAGTATATTACAAAACACTATAAAAAAGAATTTATTGTAAAAAATAAAGCTCAGCAACGATGTTTTTTTGCAATAAGTTTATACTATATATCTTAAGATGCTAATGTCATAATTAAAATAATCCCAATAGCATTATTATCAAATCTACAATTAATTGTGATGTTATTTCGGCTGCAGTTGATAATTTCATTTCAAGTCCGACAATAAGCGGGGTGCAGAAAAATAATTGAAAAATATATTTAAAATTTAAATATAAAAATATTATTAGATCTAGCCTCAACTTTATATGGCATTTATTTATTTATTTGATTTATTCATATAATATAGCAATTTAAATTAACATATTATTAATCAGTATATTATATGTATTAAATATATTATATGTATATACATACAAAAATAGATATATAATTATATAATAAATTAAAGAATGTATTTTGTACTAATATTTGAACGATATCTGAAGTTCGATAAAACACGTATCAAGTATATACTGATGATTAATAAAGATTAACTTATTATATCAATAGTGAGTCTTCGTAAAAATATACTAACGGAACTTAAATCTTTCGAAGTTTAGTATACACGATTACATTATGCGGTTTTGTATGTTTCTGGTGACACGTAATATACGTTGGTGTTGGGTTACAAAACGCAATTGTCCGGAAAAAAATTTCTATGAATAATATTTCTTAATTTCTTTAAGCAAGAGCGGCTCCGTTTTTTCGTTTATTTCTATGAATCTCTTATTGGCTCGACTAAAATAATAAATATCGCCGGTATAAATGTCGAACCACAGCGCATGGATGTGCAAATCGTGCCTCTCCAGACGCTTCTTTAGGAATCCATATGACGAGATATTTTGGAGTTGCTGCAACGTATTGATCTGCAACAAGATAAGTCCCACAAATGTAACGAGATAAATGACCGGTTATTTTTTTTCGTGGCGTCCTGTTCGACCTGTGTACTGACTTGCGACAGCTTGTCTTCAATGGCGAATTTATCCTCCGGATCGATGTAGGCGACGAATTTTCGTAATGACATCTCGCCCTGGAAGAGAATTGGCTCGCGGAAACCAGTGATTTCGAGATGCTGAAATTTCGTCAAGCTGCTGCTGGCGTGCGCATACAGCCACGCTCTCAGCGGTGACATTCTTCTGTTCGTCTAAAATTTGGATGGCATTATCGCGCGTTTACGAAAATGTGCGAGGAAAAACAGAATTTATTGTGGACAAATTTTTAATCGCGGGAAACGCAATCGCGCAAGGAAAACGCACTTGAGACGCGAACTCCTTGTCCCGTAAAGCGTAGAGCAGATTCATCGCCTTGCAATCGCTATGGCCGCAGACTATAACGTGCCTTATGTCGTTTACCACGCATCCAAGTTCCAATGCCGCCGCTTCGCACATAGTAAATTCGTCCACAAAGTGATGCGAGTGTGGAATGACATTACCGGGGTTTCGAACTGAAAAGGTAAACTCTGTTAAGCCGTCCGATACATGTTATTACTTCGATTCTGGATCGTTCTTCCATGGATAAAGAGAAGATTGGAAATCACACATATTCAATAAATCACATTCCGAAAATTCTTGCAAATATCGTTATGCTAAGAACGATTTTTTTATGAATAATTTTAATATAAATATATAATTATATAAATCTTCTCTTGACAAGACCTTGACAGAAAAACTGCAGAAAACCAGTGATTACAAGCGTAAGCTCTGAATTGGCTGCCACTTTTCTGCTTTCTGCTTTTCTATCTAGGACTGAATATACATATAAAAATAATATATATAAAAACAAAAAATTTATTTAAAAATAATTTCAGAAAAGATGTTAACTTGAATATATTTTTCAGTTCTCATAGTATCCTTAATTAAACAAAATTTTGATGAATCAAAAATAAGTATGATTATATACGATTAAGATTGCAATGAATAAATATCGCTATCTTATCAGAGGAGCTCTGATATTGTAAGAAGTGTGGAAAAGAAAATATCCTGCGGTAGAATCAGAAAAATTAGAGAATGAACCATCAGGTTACATGCGATCACGGTAATGCTACTATAATAGATCGTACCAACAAACATGTCTCCAATGTTCGTTTCCGTAAATCTAGTTGGAATCATCCGGGAGTCCATGCAGGTAAAGAATACTGCCTTTGGCTGTGATAGGAAGCAACAACAAACATATCAAATTACAAGCTGTGCTAGCAAAATTATAAATATGCAACATGGGTGAAGATGTTTCTTTTTAATACACAATAATGTATCCGACTTCAGTCTATTATTTGAATTTTATTACATAATCTGATTATTTTTATTTATTAAAATGTTCAAAAACAAAATACGAAGGTATTTAATCTTTATAGATTTTTGGATACTTTTTTTTATATTTTAATAGTATAGAGTAGTAGACAGATATACATATAAATATAGAAAAATTATGCAACATATCCAACTTCAGTCTACTTAAATTTTAATAAATAATATAATTATTTGTTAAGACATTCAAAATCCACATAATATGAATAGGTATCTTTTTCTTAGATTTCTGGAAAAAATTTATTTTTATTTTCAAAAACAGAGAGGTATATAAATATATATATTTCATTATATTCATAAATATTCTACATTCTTCTCTATATTTTATTGCTGGTAAAAATATAGTAATATACACATAGATCTTATAAGGATGGGCTGGCAATTGCCTCTAGCTCGCGTCGATGTCTCTGCGGTTTCTGCAGAGAAACAGTGTCCGAGTCCGATGGCGGTTGGAGAAAAAAAACGTACTTTTCAAATGATTCTCTTTCTCAAAATGTCCGAAAATATATACTACGTATGTCAGTGAATACCATATCAGAATTAAAAATTATATGTATATTACGAAATAAGATTATTTTTCAAAATGTATAAAAATGTAGGTAATTAAAAAATATAAAAAAAAAACTTTGTAAAATTGTAAAGGGAAGAGAGACAATTTAATATATATATTAAACATATCTAATATATAGTATATACCAAGCATGTGCGAAACGTACTTCCGAACATACTTTTTAGAAAAAGAAGTGCAGACACGATCCTGCTTATATTACCAATCCATACTTATACATGGTCTATGGTAATGCACTTTTAGCATACCGTCGGTAAGTAACCTGCCTTTAATACCATAATCAACGGCATACTACACCAAAAAAATACTCTACTGATATAAACAGAACCCAGTAAACGAGGTATTCTACAGTCGGTATATATTCGAATCGATCACATTAATAAAATAACTAGACTGATAAAAACAGAAAAAAAAATTTTCCTAGCATATATTATAAGGTAATAATCTACAAAGAGAGAATAACTCGATTGGTAAAAACAGCACAACTTTATTTTGTATAGGTCAGTAAGATGGGTAAATATTTTACCGTCATCACAGATACGTATATTCTAATCAATTGTTGGTCAATCAATAATTCGAGGTCATGCTTTGAGATCATGCTCCGAGCCATTATTATTAAAATAAGTGATCTTATTAATATATTAAGCTGTATTTAATAGAGTTGTGAATGTATTTTTGATGGCCCACGATCACCTGCTCCGAGATAGTATCAACAAAACACACGTGTATCATTCTCGGTGTGGCAGTGCAAATTTATCTATATACCTATCTATCGAAAGAATCTTCACGTGATCTTTTTTTAATATTATACGAACGTACCTCGGGATGATCTTTAACTTGTTGAAATTGCTTCACCATGCCTTCCCGGTGACACTTTCTGTACTTCATGATCCCCTTCAGTATTCTATCCATCACTACATTCGAGTAATAACTATAAAATGAACCATCAAAAACTTATTTTCTTAATGTAAGAAGCAATGACAGCACACAATTCCGCCATTTAGCAACTTAACCGCGGGAAATTTAACTTTCTTCTGATCTATCATAAAACAAGTGAACTACTATCTATTTTTCTTTTAATTCAGACATGCTTCACAAAATAAATATATTTTTCAATAAAAAACCGAAAAGAGAGAGTTTGATCCAGTAAACTTAGAATCTGATCAGTCTTTGATTAAAAAATTTTTTTAATCAGGTGATTTTAATATTAAATTTATTTTATGTTCAGCTTATTTCATCGGAAATATTTCTATCACTTTTATAATTTTAAATATATATATACCCATTTAAATACAAGAAATATAAGTCCACATATGTGGTTATAATTTATTTGCACATTTAAAAAATACATTGTAGTTTTAAATTGTTACATCTTGTATGTAAATCTTTAAGGATGTAAACATATAAACACATCGTATATTCCTTTTTCCTACCAAATTGACGTTAACTATTTATCTTTACAATCACAATATGATACTCTGATATAGCATAGATTGCACATCCACTTAAAAGTTCCTTTTATATTGTAGAACGGTCAGTAGAGAAATCTATCAGTGAACACATAATTAAAATATATCAACATTGTATAATATATATATATCAATGTATATATATTACATATGTATTATAAACATATCAATGTGTGTGTGTGTATATATATATATTATATATATATATACACACAAACACACATTGATATATGTATACATTGATTATCTTTATCAGAACTTTTCTACTATCATGATTCAGTTTTGAGAATAGAAGCTCTTAAATGGATACTCAGTCTTGCATTATTATATCGTAATATCATGCAGATATAGAATAAACATGTGGTTGTGATGATTAATTATAACTAACATTCGTTGGATGTTATTGCGACATGTTTCGAATCACGAATGGCTTTTGAATTGAAAAATAAAAAATAATTCCGAATGAAACAAGAGAACCGCGAATATGGAAATTATTTTATGTCGCTAAATGGCAGATGCATCATAACGAATAAATCATATCCACGTGTAACATGTGGGATGAATTCATATCAATACAATCCTAATATACGGCTTGAAATACAGTGATAATCGTCAGCCTCTTTCGAATACGTCGATTATATACTTATTTTGTCATAAACGCTCACATTGAAGAAGCCATACATTGAAGTATACTTTGTAACCCGATCTTGTCAACAATCGTATCCCCGTAATCGCGCTTTATCTTAACCATACGCGATTCCAGAAATTCAGCAATTATTAATAGGATGGACCCGGGTGACAAGGCGCCTGGGTCGCGCCGACTTCTATCTAGTTAACGCCGAGCTCTGGCTGGCACGTTCCAACTTTTCGAAGTGCTTTCGCGCGTTGCGTATGTTAATTAACGTCGCTGCGGATGCTGAAAGAATATGTGTGTTTTGACAAGCTTCACATATCAGAAAATACTATAGATAGAGAGAGTTGAGGGTATGTACCAGGTTGATTGATAAGTCCTTAGAATAAAAATGAAAAAAACATTTTGTTAGTAAAACTCAACTTTATTCTTCAACATAATCTCTTTTTATCTCAATACACCGAGTCCAACGAGTTTCTAACTTCTTTAAGCCTCCCAAATAATAAGTTTCTAAACCATCAAAATATACATCTGTTTTTCATTCAACCTCTTCATTTGTAAGTAAATCTCTTTTCCTGAAGCCATTTTTTAAGATTTGGAAACAGGTAGAAGTCAGATTGGGCCAGATCTGGAGAATACGGTGGATGTGAGAGCAATTCATACCTCAATTCGTTTAATTTTGCTATTGCTTTTACCGATTGTGAGCTGGTGCATTGTCTTAATGAAAGAGAATTTTTTCTTCGCTAAATGAGACCGTTTTTTTTTTCTTGATTTCATCATTTAGTCGGTCTAACAATAATGCATAATATTCTCCTGTGATCGTTTTTCCTTTTTCAAGACAATTGATGAGAAGTATTCCATGTGCATCCCAAAACACAGTGGCCAGAATCTTTCCAGCCGATTGTTGCGTCTTTGGTCACTTCGGAACATTTCCTTTGGAACTCATTGTGCCAGTTGTTGTTTCAATTCAGGTAATGGTGGATCCATGTTTCATCAACAGTTATATATCGACGCAAAAATCCCTTCGATTTGCACTAAACATGTCCAAACAAAGCTGAGAAGTGCGAACTCATTTATGTTTTTGATCGATTATTAGCAATCGCGGCACCCATCTTGCAATCAACTTTCTCATATGTTGGTGTAGAATATTGAACACGTGTTCAGATAAGATGCCCACAGCCAAAGCTGTTCATGCAATTTCACTTTGAGGTCATTCAACACGATATCATGGATTTTTTTCACTCATTTCTGGTGTAGTCACTTTATTTGGACAATCATTGCGTCGTGCATCCGATGTGCTGGTACGATCACTTTTAAACTGAGCATTCCAGTTATATATGGTTGCATTTGACGGAGCAGACTCCTCTAAAGTTTTTTGGAAGTCCTTAATCATTTCTTGCGGTTGCAAGCCTTTTAAATAGAAATACTTAATCACTGCACGAATTTGATAGTGTTTTTGACCCGATCGGGTTTGCTCTAACTTGGGTTGAATTAATAATGTTCCATGCTCTCTTATTGGTAGAGCGTATAAAGTTCACCAATAGCAAAGTACTTTCTAACCCAGGTTGTTGCAAACTCGGTCGGGCCAAAAACGCCATCAGATTTTTCCATTTTTACAAGATATCAGATTATGTGCTTCAGTGACTGTCACAAATATACCGATTGTCATAACTGTCTGCAACTGTGTAGTCAGAGGTTTGAAGGTTGGCACTATTGGAAATTCAAGGTGCATTGGAGGCAGTAACACCACTAATGAGTCATTCTAAAGACTTATCAATTACCCTGGTATTTAAATTACAATACTTTTATTTAAAATATAGCATTTGGAATATGAATGTATTTTATATTTCAGATTTTCAAAATATAATTAAATATATTTTATATATATAAAATTAATATAAGGTTGAATTTGAATTGTACAAATACTAGAAATACTTACGTATAGTCGGGTCGGACATGATAACCATCACGTATGTATTTGAGGTAAATATATCGATAAAGGCCGCGAAATTGGTATTTCTAACTTCCATACTCTGAAATTGTGCCGCTAACTTACTGCAAAATTAATAAAAACTGCAATTGTTGCATCTTGTGGTTGTCAAATTTGTTACTCTTTTGCATAACTCATACTTACCTACAACTCAATTTAAATTGCTTTATTATATTGGAAACTTTTTCGAAACGATGAACGTCTCTGTGAAACTGCCGTTGACAATGACTTATTACTAGAAAGGTTGCTCTTTCAAACAAAAGCACTTCATCCGCGTCGATAATATTAGCAAACTGGTTCAAGCTTTGTTCAAGTTCCTTCACATTGGGAATCAGCATATATACAATGGATGACCATGCCCTACAATGAAGATTTGTCTGCTTTAATCATGTTTTTATCTGATATATATCTGGATAAGATATCAAATAATTAAAGGTTCAAGTTTTCATAAGATATAATTAAGAAATGATGATTTATATTTGTTGTATTATATATAGTGTTAAATATAACAAATATAAATTTATGTAAACATTTCATTATTTTAATTTTCATTTTTGATCACAATAATAAATTAAAATTTGCGCATTTATATCTGCATTGACTCATCAAGGTTATCATTTTTTAATTACCTGTATAAGGTTTCATCCCATATGCTAGTTCTGAAGCAAGTGCACTCTAAAGGTAAACTCAGTCTTTTCAGATCTTCTTCTCTTTCCCTGAATATGTAATCGCGTTGGTCCTCTTGCACAAGATCCATTTTATGAACTAGGCAAAATATCTTAGCCTCTGGGCTATTCTGCAGTATCGCTTCTAAACAACTCTGGTAATAATGCATATCTTTGTCCAGCTCTCTTGATTCTACATCAAAGACATAAATTAACACCTCTACATTCCTAAATATATTATCGCGTTGTGATGCAAAATAATTCTCCATGAATGCCTCCTGTCCTCCACAGTCCCATAAATTTAAAACCAAATTGCCAAGAAAACGAACGTGAGAATGTTCTACGTCAACTGTAATAAATTATATTATATATTAGTTTACTTCAAAGTTAGTAATCTGTTCTTATTTCAAGATCATTAAGGGGATTAATATCTCTCTCTGTCTCTCTCTCTCTCTCTCTTTCTCTCTCTCTCTCTCTCTCTCTCTCTCTCTCTCTCTCTCTCTCTCTCTCTCTCTCAAAATGTTAATATGATTGATTAATTTATTCAAACAAATTAATGTATTTATATCAATCACTACACTGACTGGTATTTATAGTCACATCTTATATTTAAGTCTGTCTTAATAACAGTCTTAAGATGTCACAAATCAATTAGAGAAATCTATATTAGTGCTCTAAGATATTATTTAAAAGAATCTTAAAATAAGACCAAATTATGAATACCAGCCATTATATTAGCATCTCAAGATATTACTTAAAGATTTGAAATAAAAACAGATGATGTATGCTTGGGACTATTTAGTATGAGTTCAGCTTACTCGTTGCTCCTAGACGATGGGTATCACGAGCGATGTAATTGGCAAAAATAATGCTGCGCATACTCGTTTTTCCAGACCCACTCTTGCCCATTAACAGGACCTAAAATAAAATGATTCATTTTGTCTTAGAACAAAGAAATGTCTCTATAAAAAAGAAGACTTTTGCAGAGAATGCAATTACATGCATTTGCATAACGTAAAAAGAAAAGTTTACTTTTTTCTTCATCTTGAATGGATAACGTTTGTTTCAATAAACTCTTTTGGGGAAAAAAAAGGTGCTGACTGGTCTCGCAAGTATCTGGCTTATCAATTGTTCTCCGCCCTCGGGCAAGAATCGCGCACGGTAATACACTCAACTTGCGGCTGCCTATCACCAACTGTCGCATCAAAACACGCAATGTGATTATATATTACATGTCGCGTCTCATTTCGAAATAACGTCATGAACCCACATGGAAACGTACTCTCAACGCAGAAGCATGCAGAAGTCAACTACTAACGCTAACTTCAGATCGTTGGCCATGTCACTCATTGACTACTCTGACTAGAGACGGTATCGCGCCAATGTTCAGATTACATTCGATTGCCTATTCTATTGTTCATTAATTCTTACGCACTTCCGGAATCAAGATTTTTTAGGGATTTTTTTTAGACATTCGTCATAACAATACGAATGCTGTCAAATCAGCTGGTTTGCGACGTCGCCCTTCCCCCACTTCTCTCTACACCATTATACATGATATACGTAGATAAGACAGTATGTATCCGAAACATCCGGGACAACTTCACACGATAGACGATAAAATTGTTTCATTACAGTAATAAGCGAAATATTCTTGCAGTTGTATTGCGTTACATTTTCTGCGTTTTACATATATATAATAAAACAGTTATTTAATTAGATATTAAAAAGAAAAAAGAAAAGTAGCGTAAAAAGTTCGATTACGAAAAACAAATAGCTGCAACGAACATACCCATTCACGGGATCGAGCGTAACCGAGTGCCGTACTTTCGTACTTACCTTCTCCGCAGGTTCTTTGGGCAATCGATGTGTCACGTGAATAGTACGAGTGATCTCTCATGTGATCCTTTCAATACCTGTAAATAATTCATACGAGATACGGTCACTGGCTCCGTTGTTCGTTCGCTACTTTTTCGAGGAACGTGATCAGATAGGAAAAAAATGGGCGCGTCTGCAATACCCGTGATAGCCTTCACGCTTCTCTGGGGTGCCGTAGTATTTCTTGGAGTAGCTCTACCACTTTTTGTTCCAAAGGGTCCAAATCGTGGGTAAATATCTCTCTCGACACTCTTTCTTGCTTTCTTACAGTTTCATCCCGTTGAAATTCGCATTTGTACATAGATCTCTTGAAACAAACAAGTATTTCCTTTCATATAAACGTTTTTTCTCATAATGTCACATTTTTTAGCAAAATTTGGTAATAATAACAGTATATTTCATCTAATTTCGCTTGAATATTTCAGTCAACAGAAATATTTTAAAAATATAACTACATTTTTGCTTAAGTTATCCATGTTTATCAAACTGTATTGCGAAAAATATTATCTTGGCCAGTAGTGTTGAACCTGGACCTCTTGTACTCCATACGAGCATCCTAAGCCTTTAGACTACCGGCCTTAATAATATTCTTAGTAATAATTAGGATATGTATAAAAACGTCTTTTTCAGGCGACTAAATTTAATTTATATGGATATTTATTGCAGGATACTACAAGTTCTCTTGGTATTAACAGGCTTTACATGCTGGTTATTGTAAGTATAACATTTTCATGGCATCTTGATATTTCAGTTCATATATTTGTAATTCATATGTAAATAAAATTATCTTGCAGCTGGTTATGTTGCTATATGGCACAGATGAATCCATTGATTGGGCCAAAGTTAAATAGTAAGACTATACTAGTTATGGCTCGGGAATGGGTAAGTCAAAAAAACATCAAAGGTTATATATATAAATTATTTATATTTGAATATTATTGCTTATAAGTTATATATATATATATATTATTTTTTTACAGGGTAATCCTATCACCGATCTATGAGCATTCCATGGTTCACGAAATGTTTTATTTCAAATGTATACATTCATTCCCTGACATTATTTTCAATAATAATATACTTAAACAAAACACAGAAGTCATAATGATATCATAAAGACATCATCATGATTTTATTTGTCACTTACAAGTGCATTTTTAAGTCGATATTTTTATAACATCATGATGATATCATTATGGCTTTATTATGGCTTTATGTTCTACCTAGATAATCATGAATGTAAAATTATGAAGAATTGTGAAATGCCAGTATGTTTTAATTGTTCCTAAAAATGGAATGATCACATTTCAGTTGTATAATTATTAATATATACTATATATATATATTAATTTAATTTGTATATAAAATATCTATTACAATTACTTAAAAATGCGTAAGAATTTTAATGTAATAATTACCTGAAAAAATTATTGTTGGAAAAATAGAATAGTTTTAATTGTATACATCCTTGAATCATTTAAATTGATCATATCGTTAAGTTTATTTTCCTATAAAAGTATTCATATGAAAAGATAAGAATAAAATATTCAAAAAGAATATATTCATAAAATTATTATTTGTATAGATGGTGTAACCTTTATAATTAAAAAATTTTTAATATTAAAGATGATAATATTAAGAATAAAGCGTTTATTATTAAACTAATATTTATTTATTTATAATATTATATTTATTATTAAACTAACTACTGTAGGATACGAATTTGTAAAGTTGCAATGGCTTATTGCAGGCTGTATCACATGAGAGCGATAAAATGTCACCATCAGCTGACTACGTGCAACGACGACCAATGAGAGCCATCCAACAAGTCGTCCGTATTTTACACTAGATATTAGCCTAAAATTCCGGAATATTTAGTTCACGTTCTTCACAGTGCCCAGTGGAACAAATGTCAGTTGCGAGACTCTTCTGCCCTTCTCTTTCTTCTTCAGTTCTTACGAGAAGTGATACAATAATAATGGAGGCTTGTAATGCCGTTGAGCGCGAAGTCGATAAAGTTCTGTCGAAATTCGGCGCGATAAATGAACATGCGGAGACAGTGTTGCGCGACCTGATAAACCACATACAGTCTCTGAAAAAAGATCTGGAGGAAGGTAAATGGCGCTGAGATCATTGATATTAGGTCCCGAAATGGTTTGTCTTTCATTTCGATTTTTCAGTAGTTTTTATCATGCGAGTCAGAGGACTTATCACACTTTCGATCCTCAATAGTTCAAATTCATTTTCTGTTAGATAAATTACTTCATTTATTAAAATATTTCTCTGTGTCCCAAAATTTAGTTCTTTGAAATCGATTAACCTTAAACAAAGCTCTGCGTATTGTGAACTGTTTCACTTATGTAGCCTAGTTTTACGTGTTTACATAAATTGTGGCATAATAATTTGCAATTAAGTGTAAATTATTTATTTTTTATATCTATTCATCTTATATTTTCTCGTTACTGAAATATTGTCTCAACATGTATTTGTCGCAATGTCATAAATCATCCCTGTCATTGAAATGAAATTATTCGATTGATATTAAATAATATGATATTTAAGTATAAACTTGTTTGATATATTAAAATAATTTTTTTAAAACAATGTATTTTTATATGATTTATATTTTATAGCAAAAAGCTTGTATATAAATTTATTATATATGTATATAAATAGCTGAATATATATAATTAGTAAATATTTATTCTTAATATGTATTTATTCTTTTATGTACAAAACAAATATATAACCAACTTTGATTTTAAAATAGCTTAATACATTTTGATTAGCACCACCTAATCAGGAACTAACAGCTGGTCAAGTACAAATGCTAAAACAAGCAATGACAAAAGTACGTGATACTGTACAAAGATTAGCAACAGATCATCGTGATCTGCACAGTACAGTGTCCAAAGTGGGTAAGGCAATAGACAGAAATTTTATTGCTGATTTTGCTAGTACCAGCAGAGAAGATGTATTTTCTGGACCTGAGAAATCTCATCTTCTGAATCAAATAATTTGTCAACACTTTTATCGTCAAGGAATGCTAGATATTGCTGATGAATTAGCAGTGGTAAGTTTCTTTTAATTAAATCTGTGTTTATTTTATTTAATTTTTATTTAAAATTTTTAATTAAAATTATTGCTTATAATTGCTTTACTTATTTTCAATTCTGTAATGTTCGTTAAAGTGATACTTATTTTACATACTTCTCATATCATTGTAATTGCATATAATAATGTAATTGGTGATGTTTACAGGAAGCTGGTATCAAAACCGATGAAGGTAGAAAGGAACCATTCACAGAATTGAACTATATACTGGATTGTCTAAAACAGAGAAATCTTGAACCAGCATTAGAGTGGGCTAAAAAACACAGAGAAGCACTTCTAGCACAGGTAATGTCTGATTCTCGAATGTAGTCTATTTTATATTATTGATATATAAGATATACATTGTAAATTTTTCATTTTTTTTCAGAATTCGTCTCTTGAGTTTAAGCTACACAGATTACATTTTATAAGACTAGTTCAGCAAGGTCCTAGTAAGCAGAGAGAAGCGATACTATATGCCCGCCAAAATCTTACGCAATTTGTTGGACGTTATGAAAAAGAAGTGCAATCTTTAATGGGAACTTTACTTTATTTGCCACATGGGATCCAGTCATCTCCCTATAGTCATTTATTAGATCCAACTTTATGGCTTGAGATACACGACGTTTTCACTAAAGAAGCGTGTACATTATTAGGCTTAAGTGTGGATAGTCCATTATCTGTTTGGTAAATATGTTTTGTTTGCTCATAATTAAAAAGAATGTAGCAAAACATCGATAATAATTTGTTTGATTGCAGTATCAACGCAGGATGCACTGCATTACCTGCACTATTGAACATTAAGCAAGTTATGCAACAGAGACAAGTTACCGGTATCTGGAACGGTAAAGATGAATTGCCTGTGAGTACAAGGACACGAACTCATATACATAATTAAATATATGTGTATAAATATTAAGGATTCAAAACATTGATCTCTTTCTTTTACAGATCGAGATAGATCTGGGAAAACAGAGCCGTTATCATTCAGTTTTCGCCTGTCCTATACTTAGGCAACAAAGTACAGAGAATAATCCGCCGATGAAACTGGTTTGCGGCCACGTAATTTCTCGAGATGCATTGAACAAACTTGCCAATGCGAATAAGTAGGTGTTATATATGCGGCTAGGCTGGAGTACATTGATGCTTTCCAAGTGCTGATTTAAAGTCACTTTTTAAAAGAAATCAATTTATTTCTAGGTTGAAATGCCCGTACTGTCCGGCGGAGCAGAATCCCGAAGATGCGAGACTTATTTATTTTTAAGCTGTGATACATTGTTTACCTATACATATAGTAATATATAATGTGTGTATGTGTGTATAAGGACTATGTACACATATAAAAAAAAGCTAGTTTTACAGTTTCTTTGGAATGGATGTCGAATGCGAAAGAATAATACGAATATGCAATAATTGACAAATTGTAAATTTTTATTTTACAAAAAGAAATCGTACAAAAATTTTCATTATTGAAATTTCAGTTGAGATTATAATATAGACATCGATCATTGATTTTTTTTTCAAATGCAAGTATAAATCTGCTAATTATAATTCGTTTTTTTAAGGAAACTGATTTTTTATATCGAAAGAAAAACGGAGGAACTGTGATAGTTTTATTATTCATGGGGTAGCTCTAATTATGATATTATATATTGTTAGTACATAATTTATATATATTACTTTAGTGTATAAGTGATCAGCTTTGTACGCGAATGACGACTTAAAAGCCATGAATGTGTCTAACGACGCCTAACAGATTTGTTATAAGTTCTTCATAAATTCATCCGTTTCTTATTTCGATCGTATGTACTAGCTTGCCTATAATAAAATTAAGAGTTCGGTTTGTAAATATGTTTTTGCATTCATTTTCTACATCACAGTTTATAATATTCATCAATTTCAATGAAGATATTAAATAAAAAATATATTACAACGGTAAGCAAAAATAGCATTACTACCGAATCTTATCATAGGAAACCATATACATATACATGTAAAACATATTTCTAAAATAATTTTATTTTAGAAATACACAATCTATTCTTATATATTACGTCTGCGAAAAAAGAAAAGGAGAATTTTGAATTATGAAATACTTATCGGCGGTACGGTCGCTTAGTCTGCATGTAAATGATATCGATCAAACATCAAGAATAAGATATACACATACAGTTATTGCAACTAATCGTTTGTTCAAAATAATCGAAATCTGATAAGACTTGTTTGAATAAGAATCCAGGAGAAACTAAAATGTCTTCGGTCTTCGTTTCTCGTACGAAAAAATCTACATAATTTTTTAAATATATCTAACTTTAATATACGTGGAATCTTTTGATAATATGAAGAATTCCAAAGGTAAGCCAATATTAATATATAAATTGTATCGATCAAAATTTCTTAACTTAGGAAGTAAGAAATGACTAATATGAAAATATTTCATTGTTATTCTTCGAGTCAAATCTGGAGCATCGATCTTGCCGCCCCTAAGATCTGCAGAACGCCGAACCTTTGATAAAAAAATTGATCTCGGTGAGGCATTGTCCCCTATGATTGATAAATTATCAATTCATGAAAGTATGAAGCAAAACATCGACATTAAATTGAATAAAGACTCTACAGTTCGAAAAGAAATCACGGAACGTGATTCCAAGTTGAAGAAAACAGTTTCTCTATACAATGTTGATGAAATGTCATTCGAGGAATTGCAAACTTCTGTACGTAGAATTATGGAAAATCCGCAACAACCGTTTTCATTTTTGGCGAATATCTCTGACGAATTCGCGAATAATAAACACTTATCGACGAAACCTACGGAAATCAATGTAAGTGCAAAATGATTTAAAATCGTGAAACACAAAATAGTCGGACGAACATATTAGTTAATTAATTTAGTTTGAAACCCTGTAAATCACGAATACATTTATGTTATGATTACATAACATAATAGTTATACCCTTTGTTGGGAATCATTTAATTGATTTGGAATTGATTATTGTCTATTTATGTTCAGATGCAATTGGCTTCTGTAGCAAAGCGTATCGAATCGAGTAAAATTTTATTGGAGAAAACTAAGTCTCGCATCGAAGACTTGTATCTTCATGCTAAACAAAATGATGTTTGTCAGTCGTGGAAAGTCTATGATGGTAATTAATTAATATTGATGTTTATCAATTATAGATAATTTAAAAAACAGTAAGAGCCTGGGGGTTTATTGCGGTTTTCGGATTGTGTGGGTAAAAATTTCTTACGATAGTAAGAAACTCACACAATTACAGTTAATCTCATCTCGTGAGAATACGAATTTACTCGTGTGAGTGGGCTCAGCATAAAATTTCGACGTAAAAATGTGAAATCAAACAAGAGTGACGAAGAAAGACGTACTATTCTGTTATTTGTATAATGGATAATTTAATATGTTTGTATTTGTGCAATATGGAGAAAATAGAAGAAATAATAAAGAAAGACCGCAAAATAACTGGGATAAGGATTGTCGTAATTGCGTCCGATACGTTTACATCGATCCTTGTGCGATGACTTACGATTCTGTCAGAAACAGTTACAGACAATCCTTTTACTCAGGCCATTCATTATAATGACATACTCATATTTTATCTATAATCGATTAAATTAATTTATATAATTTAAATATTTCTGATTTTTCAGTTCGCGATGATAAAGCCAAAGAAGAACAATTGTCTTAATTGTTTTAATTCTGCAGATTGTAAAGAAACAAAAAGAATTTCAAAAAATTAAATTTTTATTTATAATATTAAGTATCATGACAAAATTTTGATGTTATTTATTAAGCAAATATAATGATATATATAGTCCTCAAAAAAATACTAAAATATAAAATTCAGATTAAAAGCGCTTATTATTTGCACGCTATTTTTATATGTACATATAGCGTACGTGTCTCAAATATATGAGTACATAAAAATTGAGTTTAATTGCCTTCAATTGCTGCCAGAACAAATTGCCATGCTATTTATAATGTCGCCGGTGTTTGCGGCTACAGACAAAAAAAGAAGAAATTTAATTTATTCTCTTATAAAGAATATAAAGTAAATTTGTGAAGTGTAATGATTATAAAATAATATTAACAATAATAATCATCAATAAAAGTAGAGAGCACGGCTCTTATGTTGTTTCGTCCCGTTTGAAACGGACAGACAGAATTTCCGGAGTCATGTTGACCTCGTTGTCGAGCTTCCCATATATGCACCAGTCGTTGCTTGGACTGCTCTCGATTTTTGATGGCTCCGTGGGTTCGGATTGATTGTCGCAGCCGTGATGCGAATCACCGTGATCGTTCTCGTCGATGGACCATTGCGACGCAATCTCCTTGAACGGCTGCAAACAGCTCGCATTTTGCTGTATGTTCTCCAATTCCTCGTCGCAGAGACGCTCGACCTCCGACAGCTTCTGCTTGTAGGCGTCGACAAGCACTCGTTTGTACGAGTTGTAACGTTGCTCAGCTTGCTCAAGGGAGTGTCGATCGTGGTACTTGGCAAGATTTTTCTCGTATTCCAATATCATTAGTTCTCTGATGCTCGGTTCTAACGTAAGATCAACGATGTTACCTACAAATTCACTGTTATTAATTCTAGATAGGTGCATAAAAAATATATATTAAATTTTAATAAATCATTTGTTTGAATGTCAAATATTTACTAAATATAGACATGAAAAAATATAAAGATGTATTTATTAGCGCTTCTGTAGCAGTAACTCATTTTTTTTTCAGAGCAGCAGATTTGCTGGTGCCTCGTCATTTAATGTACTTATTATTACATTTAGCTATTTTTCTTACTTAATTTCTGTAATCACTGTTCAATTATAATTGATGCACTGATAATTAAACTAAATTAAATCAAATAAATTGAAAAATTCAAAGCCTCTTTATATAACAATAATCAATAACATTAAAAAAGGAGAAATAAAAGTCAAATTACAATTAAAAATCTAAATTTCTTTGATAATTTATTCTAATATATTGCGAAGAATATCACGTAATTTTGGCGTTTCGTCCTGGCTTCCACACCAATACTTTACTGATGAATCCATGAATTCATAGTGGAAGCCGAGACGAAACGCTAAAATTACGTGATATTCTTCACAATATATTAGAATAATTATCAAAGAAAAGATTTTTAATTGTAATTTGACTCTTACTTCGCCCTTTTTAATTAAATTAAATCAATTCAAATTAATTATTTCTTTTTATTAAGTAAATATTTATTTACTGTAAGTAAATGTTTTAGTCGGCAATTTAAATAAAAATATATTTAAATAAAGATTTATTAAAATTTAATATATTTTTTCTCAGTATCAAGATTAAATCATGTGAATAAAGAAACGAAAAAAATAACAGATAGATTTAAAGCTTTATTCTCACAGATTCTCCATACTATCTCAGATTGTAACTTTAGCAGCGAAAAAATACGCGATAAAAATTCTTGTAAAATACTTTAATATGTAAATATCAAAGGTAGTAATAGTGAATAAACAGAAGCCTTTTAATAATATTAAAATAAATTCATTATTTCAAAAAATTTGTTTGAGAATCTAAAATTCTCTAAGATTTATACATATATATATATGTATATATTTAGGAATTTATTCATTTATAATTTTCCAAAATTTTCCTCTTTTATTCACTCGTTTTATAAAAAATCAATTAAAGACCATAAATTATTGATTAAGTACTGATAATTGCTATTGCTAATCATTACCTAAATCGCTTGAGAGCGGCGATTCAACGGCATAAGCCGCAGCTGCGGCTCGTGCGGCGGCAGTTGCCTCTTCAAACGCAATAGCATCGCTCCTTTCGCGTAAAAATTGAAATTCCTCTTTCTTCTTTTTCCAAAGAGCTGTTTCTTTGTTCAGTTTTTCCCGAAGACTCGTCATCTCCGTCCAGAGCTTCTGAGTGCGCTCGTGAAGGAGAGACCTAATTTTTATATAATTTTCTATTTAACAAATAATAATTTTATTTTGACTAAGAAAATATTAAAATTATAAGAAAACCTCTTTTTAATACTTTTGCTCGAATATTTTTATCGTATTAGTTGTAAAATATAAATTATACTTTTTGTTTATAGTATTTATAATAATATACAAATTTAATAGTATTGTTAAATATAAAATTGATGGAAAAATTTAATTTATTTATTTAAGGCTCCTGATCACTGTGTGAATCTCAAGATTGATGACGTAAAATAGAAATATTCTTTAATAAAACGATATTCGGCTATGTTTAAAAATTAATATCTCGTTATATATCATTGCGAAAACATTGTCTATAAATTATACTGAAATGTCTTTTTGAGTAATCGATAGAATAAATTTGTAAATTATATACAGGGTGTCCCGAGAGTTTCTTCCAATCGCTTTTGTGTAGATAGAGCGGACTAAACTGAATCGAAAAGTCTTCTACCACTTTGCAGTTTACGCAATATTTAACGAGATATTAGACCTTAAAGATAGCCGAATAAACGCGTTCGTCCGGCCTACTACTGCCAAGCGTGCACTTGGTAGCGCGTGGTGGAATCTGGCTCGTTAAATATTGTGTAAACTGCAAAATGGTATAAGACTTTTCGACTCAGTTCGATCCACTCTACCTACTCTTGATATGTAATTTAATCGGTTAATGACACTCTGTGTATATAACTGCTCCGCAATTTTTGCTAAGAGAGAAAAAAGATTGTCTTCAAAATAGTTCTCCTTCAAAAATTAGAATTCACAGCGAGAATACAATACGCGAATTCTCTTCCACAGCCGATGGATGATTCTAGATCTGTCATGAGTGGAAGTTGAGTCTCCGTTCGTTCGACATCGCCTGAGAATCTCTCGGATACATCGTCCTCGTCCGATGTCTCAATATAAATCATAGGTATACTTTCGCGATCAATCACGTCTTGTATACTTCCTTCATTCCGCGTATCGTCGCGTTTTTCTAAGTGACATTTGTGAACTTTACAATTTGAAGACTTCGAATCTTGAAACGCATCGTTCAAAACGACAGACGCTATTTCCGTCGAAGAGACGCGCTTATCATCCATTGCTTTCGTTCTTTTTTTTCGTAAAAACAAATTTAATACAGAATTCACAAGAAATATCGTACCAAATAGAATAATTTCATGTTATGTATTGATGAAAGAAATCGATTTCGTAGATAAATTGCGCTTCCGTTTTGTTTCTCAGAAATAAGCACCACTCACTGACCGCTCAATGATTGGTTATTACGTTCAGAAAATTTGCTCTTGTCTCCTCTCGGAGAGGCCAGCAATCTGAGAGTATTCTTGCACACAGAAACTACAAGTTAAATGCTAATGAGTCTCTGTTTAAGAGAATAATATTGTTCCAATTGATATTACTATCCTGGTTAAGTTAGGTATGGTTAAAAACCTTAAAACCTAATTAGAAAAGAACTTCATATAAAAGGGATACTATTCGTGTTTTTTGTAAAAAGTGTATCTTCTGCTCCCCAAGGAGGATATATGCAAATTATCGCATAGTACTGTAACCCTTCATAGTGGGTCAGAAAATCAAACAGAGAACTCATTAATAAGAAGGAGGGAATATATAATGAAAGAGGTATACAATATATTCTTATTAGCAGACAGATGAGAAATATGAGGAGAAAAATAGGAAAATTCAATTGTATTTGCATTGCATGACGTAAATATTTATCTATGTAACGTAAAAATAATTTTTACAATGTAACAACAAAAAAATTTGCACATTTAGCAGTATTTGCATCACTTGGCGCAATAGAAAAATTTTACGTAATTTGTGTTATCAATTAATCCTCAAGTACTTGCGCGATGAAAAGGTTCTCACTCTTTATCTCTCCATTTCTTAAAGAGAAGTCTGAGAAAAAAATCAGATTCTTTTTATGCTTCTTAAAGTTAAATTCTTCCAACAGAGAGCGCATAAAACTGATTGTTTCATTCTTTAAAAAAAAAATCAATCGTAAAAATATGAATCAAGTCGCGTTAATTCCACGCGAGTATTTATGGATTAATCTTTCATAAGTATATTAACCCTATCTATACACAGTGGGATCTCAGGAACCCCAGTGCAATTTGCTGAATCGAGATTTTTTCGCGTTTCTATTATAAATTTTACTTTTTCTTCAAACTTATATATTTCAAAGCTCCTTAATTCGATTGACTTTTACATATTATGGACTTGTTCCTTAATCAATTGAAAAATTAATTTTTAAATATGTTCATTTTTACAGAAATTACGATAAGAAATATAGATAGAGTCCTAGGGACCCATATGTGTACATCAAGAGTACAAAAACAGTGTGTATAATTAGGGTTAACAATACATTTCATCATCAAATTGCAACAACGAATTGGTAACACTTTATGCAATTTTCAGAGTCGACCGTAAACGTTTGTTTTGGAGAACTCGGCAAAACAATACCGATAGAAAGACAGAGATCGATGTGATTAAGTCGTTGAAGCCCCAATCATAGCCCTATATATATAATTAGATACCACCCGAGGTATTATATGACATGAAAAAAGAAATTTGCAACGTGCGTTCACGACATTATGCTCATCTAATTACCCTGCTATTCCTCGGGTCGACACGCGGATGTATTGCATTGTTTGATTACAAAATGTCCTTAATTACAAAATGACGCAAGGTACATGAATCTACCCGATATAATATAATTTTTATGTACAAATTTCGATCACGGTGGGATGTGTATGAAAAGCAGTAACGATATCGCCATAGCCTAAATTGTCATTAACGTAATCTAGATATAAATTCTAATCGATCTCGCCCGCAAATAAGCTACTAAATTATCATACATATATATACTTAAGTATTAAGATCGATTAGAATCTAAATATGATCGAATGACATTTATATATATATATACATCATGTGTGAGACACTTGTAAAAAAATTCCTCGTGTCAGTCATATTATATAGCGCAAAGAGCAACCGAAATTAAAAAAAATAATAAACTAATCTCTTTACGCTGTTTGCACTTTAGCGACGCGCATGGCGCGCGCGTGTTTGATATCCCGACCGTCTCTGAGGACGTTCAACGTCTAACGATTCGCGACTAGTACGACGGGAGTATAAACTGAGCCTTAAAATTAGATTGAATATAGATAAAAAAAAGTGGAATATCCGTTTAAAAGGCAAAACGCTCGAGATTTGTTCGCACTGCCTGGTTGATCCCTTTGGTCTTCTCCGCCTGCCAGCTCTTGCATTTGCTACGGAAATATCGACATTCTTCCTCGTGATTGGGGTGTTTCATCGGTTTGTAATCCTGCGGCGAGCAAAACTCTTTCTGTTCGCTGTAAAATTTCTTGTATCCTCCCAGTAAGAGATACATCTCCGGATAGTACAGTGCCGGATAGTATTCTTTGTTACACGCACGATCCAGTCTGCGTAGAAATCTCGAGAGATTCGGCCCGCGTTCCCACGAGAACTCGCAATGGAACACGATTATGTTGCGTTTATCAGTATCAAGCTTGATCTTCGGAATGGTGTCAACCAGATGATCGAGCATGGTCTGTTGGATGAGATCCCTATTGTAAATATTCACTGCTCCCGCGATGTGGCCTGCCTCGTATTCATATGGATAGCGGCAATCGATGATCGTATAAGAATCAACGCGATCGGCGAACTCGCCACGTATAAGCGCCGCCAATGTATTAGATGTGATTGATTTTAGATCCTCATGCTCGCCGCTCGTAAGCGGCAGTACACACGGTTTACTGAAATCGCCAATGAGATCGGTGTCAGTGATGCTGCGATGGATCGCCCATTTAATGTTTGTGTGTGTTTCGGTCAAGCCTGTCCTTTCTGATAGACTTCTCTGCAGAGAGCGTGGGTGCGTCAAGGTACTCGAGCGTCTCGCCGACACGGGTGTTGTGTCGAGATGCAAATTGTTGGACTTGCGCGATCTTTTTAATATCGACGCTTCGTCTTCTAACAGGTCTTCCGACGGTCGTTTGTAAGACCTAGCGGAATGCGGTGAGATTTCCATTTGTAATCTGTAATAAGGCGCTGTGGCCTCGTCATAGCTGTACGTTCTCATCATTGTCCTTTTCGAGCAGCTTGCCGTTGGTGAGCGAAATAAGCAAGTGCGGATTTTTGATAGAGATGTTATATTTTCTAACGGTGATGTCCTCATCATCGATGACGTTCCTACCATTGACGGCGTTCCCGCAAGTAACGGCGATCTCATTAGCGATGGCGATCCCATTAGCGATGGCGATCTCATTAGCGATGGCGATCTCATTAGCGATGGCGATCTCACCAGCGGCGGTGATATCGTCTTGATGTTCCGTTTGTATATACCACTTTGTACTGACAACCACTTTTTGACTTTAGATGACATTAGTCCTGGATTAGTCCTGGAGAAATCAGGAGTCGTCGAAACGTCGTAGTCAGCTGATGCTTCGGATGCGACTATGTCGCCGGACAGTAACTTCGAAATGCCGCTCGGTAGCTGCATTTCCTCATCCATGGTCTCTATGTTGTTAAGTTCGTTTACGATCCCATCATCCATACTCTCGTATCCTGACGACAAGCTACGCAAGAGGTTTGAGCTCGTAGTCTTGTAACGACCACGTATTGGAGAAGGTGCGGAAGCAAATGAACACATTGAATAATCTATAGGTACAACACTCCCCAATCTTGCACAGCTCTCGACGTACATTTCGCGCCGCTTATTCTCCTTTTCGCTAGGGCTCAACGGGTGATCGCTGTCTTGACTGTTTTCCTCGTGAATTTGCAAAGGTTGTCGTGCTTTCTTATAATATATCTGAAAGAATACGTCAATAAACAATAAAATCACGATTTTTAAAGAAAAAGATCGAACTTTGAAGAGAAAGGAGCACATATTCCACGACAAATTTCTTAAATCAAAAGATTTGAGAATAATTAAGGAAGATGAATATATACATAATGGAAAAGAGAAGAGTAAAGAGAAAAAGGAACGAAATATCCTCAACATTTTATCAAACATTCATACAACTAAAAAAACCGAATCGCCGACTGCGTATGTCTTATAAGGGAATTTGTTTCCGGTGATTTTTATCGATTAATTATTAAAGAAAAGCCGGAAGGAGAGAAAGGAAAGTGTGTCATAGATGCGATCGCCGAAGGAAAGTAAGAGAGGGTGGGAAAATACACGAAAGATAGCCGCTAATCGAATCAACAGCGGTCGCAGTCGGGCGCGCAAGGTGTCACGTGTATTATGAAAAAAATCAGAGATCAATGCGCGGAATAACGGAAGGGAAGATAATTTTCTTCCTCTATTATTTCTTTTTTTCCCGTAGTGAAATGGAATTCCACTATCTCCCTATCGGTCGGCTTGAATCGTTGCCGTTAAAACCTCATTGATGATAAGCAGCAGCTGTACGATGCATATTCGGCACGCGAGCTGGATTTGTCGTTTGACTTAAATGGTAATAACCCCGTGTTTGCGTGTACAACATCCGGAATTGAATTGAATATGCATGGAAGAGGTGTAAAAATCGTGTCCGATCTCGCGGCAGCGGATGCCCCACTAACTGGGTTTTAAATTTCGATATCCCTGAAAGATCTATAAGATTTATCGGTTGATATCGCGATTTAATGCAAGTTCTAAAATCAATTATTTGACATCAAACTTGTATTAATATTTAATATGCACCTCAACAAACGAGAAATTATTTAAAAATGTTGAATATTCATTGAAGCGATGTCGAATCAAGTTTTTAAGTTTTTTTAATCCATTTACATTTTGTAAAAATCGTCGAAAAAATTTTTTTACGAAAATTTGACTGATAAAATGTGTATGGATATTTTGTTATTAAAGAATGTTATCGTAAATTTTAAACACATCCTTACCCTACGAGGCGTACGATTGAATAAATTACTTGCAGCGCCACAGTTCTCTTTGTTGTAATCATTCTTTCCAAGGGATTCTCGCCATCCACGTGGATTTATTGTATTCAATAATACATTGTTCGAATCTTGACAAATCTTGCTCTCTGGAAATGAAAAGCTGCAAGCATACGAACGAAATCGATTATTAAGTACAAATGTCATATTGTAACATAAAATCGTATTTATAAAATTAATTTAATATGCAAAGTAACCAGCATAACCTAATAAAGTACATTTAGTTGAAAAGAAATTGTGAGTGGAAGTGTAAGTGTAAGTGTTATTAATATACAAATAGTGATTTCGCAAATAAAGCATTGATCTGATTTTTAGTGAATAGTGATATGCAATTGCGGTTGATTTAATTTTCCACGAATAGTGCTTTGTGCAAGTCATAGACGACCTTAAAAGGCATTACGAACGACGATTTTATGTCGCACTAAAATTTTTTCTACACGAAAATTTGGGTGAGTAGATACCTTTTTTTCAGAATTAATTGGGAATAATTCAAATTCTAATTGTTATCTTTCGATTGCTCTTGTAAAATTCCACAGCATCATTTATCATTTTCACAATGTATTTACCGGGTGATTTATTGCGCATGCGCACATTGCCACGTGCTGATCACTTGACGCGGGAAATACACAACGCGCGCGCGCCCTGCGCGCGTACACACACACACAGATCACATTTCCTAAACTAAATCTAATAAAACATTCTTAAATACGCTTCTCTTTTCATTTTAATCCTTATATTTTTTAATAGTTAATAATATCGATGATATTATTGTTAATAATTATTAACAATAAAATATCTGGGATAGTTAATAATATCGATGATAAAACACTAATTATTTTTGCTATTTATTTAACTGGTTTATTTATTATATCATTAAATTACAAAATATTTCCTTTGACATTTCACTAACTGGAGCACTTTCCGATATGATACAAGAAATTATATTAAAAGAAATGTTTTCATTATTTCAAATCGAAGGCACAGATATAACTTTTGCAAGATGCAGCAAATATTTATTAATATTTCACTCATCAAGAACTTTTCTTGAACTTTGGATTTAGGACTCCCCAAAACTTGGTATTTGAAGGCAATCAACACATTTAAAAAATTAATTATAGTTTAGAAGATTAATTAGAGTTTAGATTAAGCACTATCGATCGAAATATACATATATATATGTTTCACAAAATAACACGACACTGCATTATTTAAAACTGATTTGCCTGCACCATGCATACCTTTTATTCACTCCATTTCTCACGGTTGACGAAAAGTTCCTTGGATGACAAAAAGTTGACAAATCCATATTCACCGGCCTCTATGATACCGTTGATATTTTCCACAAAACGAATAAACATTCGACCGACCAAAGATTCCAGCTAAGCAACCCAAACGCGGGACAGTATCACACTGTACGAAATTCTGCGGTGCACACGTGTTTTATATGCTGTATAGTGGGGTACGAGCAAGAGTGGGGGACAGGTACGACCAATCGCAGACCGCACCCTTAAGGGCCCGCCAGTGGTGGGGACGCAATAATTTCTTTTGAAAGCGATCGTACACTGTGGGGGGCCGCGCTCACGTATATGCATCGTTAAATTTCCGCGCGCAAGTGCACATATGTGCACGTTATCCACACACGTGTACGTTGGATTCGATCCTTGTCTGATCGTTCCGGCTCGCCCTCATTCCTCGGTGGCTCTCGTACAGTCCTTTTTTCCCGTGCGAAAGGCGCCGACTCTCGACAGTGAGCTTCTTGGCTTTGTACATTTTTAATTCAAGAGTCTGTTGTAGCATTTTACGTAATTATGTATAGTTTACGTAATTAATTGTATGAAATCAGTATACAAAACTATAAATAGTAAAATAAACAATTACAAATATCGAGGTTTTTTACGAAAAAAATTGGCTATTATAACATGATATTCAGAATTTTAATCAGAAGGTAAAAATTTATCTTCAAATAGAACTTATTAAAATACTTATGCGTCTTACTAAGGGAATAATGTGTGAGCTACGTATTGGCTAATGAGCATTTAACTCTTTGTCGTGAGAAACGATTTTCATAATTTAATTCCTTCTTGCTAAAATTTAAGGAAGGATACAGCCGTCAGCTTCATCCCTTTTGCTCTCCTTTGCCTTTTAGAGATTCAATTCTATTAATCTTTCTCTATCTTCTCCATCGTTTTTTTTACTGATATGATAAATTAAATAATTATTTTTATTGATTCAAGTATACAGGAGAGAATATCTACTTCAATATTCTGTGTACATTAAACCAATGAACACATTGATTATAATAGAGCACATGTTGAACAAAGTATGAGACCCATAATGCGAAAACACGTAAATATTCAAGGGCACAATGTAAAACTTCGTTTCAAAAATGGTTGTAAGAAAAAATATACAGCTTCTAAAGTTGTCCATTCGTCTTTACGGATGACCATATTTTCTTCAAATTCAAAGTTTCCATTTATCTTGCCATAAGAAAATACTTTTCTTCAAGAATTTTGTCCATATAAACAGAATCCCGATTTTTCTTCAAAAAAATTTAAAATACGTAAGCTGCTGGAAAAGTTTCTGTAAACGATATGAAAAAAAAACATGTAAAATTCGGTAAAAATAGTCATTTACCGAAATTTACATGTTTTTTTTTTTTCATATCGTTACCACGTGCCATTAACATGTACACTTAAACAATGCAAGAGGTACGATTTTGTTACATTCTTTAGGGAAACAGACATATCGTACATAAATATAAGAGTCGGTCGGTAATTATCATTTAGAATTTGAGTTAGAAAAGTATACACAAAACTGACCATCTCGACTTAACTGTTACTTTATTTCGATACCTCAATATTAAATATTCTCATTGATAAAAATGTTAAGAGATTTAAAAAGTACATAATCCTCTTACGTTGAAGTATATCTAATTCGCATTTGTTGAATTTGTTACGAGACCTGATGTTCATCATACACGAAGAATATGTAGGTTAGTTTAGGTTAAAATTAAAAAAACTAATAAATAAAGATACCAACGTATTTAATAACTTTTAAAAATCTCGAGAAAGTAAATCTTAAAATTGGAAATTCTCATTAATTTTTTGTAGATTTTCGAAAACTCACATTACTGGTACCGTCGCTACACTGAAATTACTAAAAATATTAAGTAAAATCAGTATGACAGTTAGATGTGGTAATTTTTACAAATACTAGCCATATTTAAGACAGCCATATATATCATACGTCTGCAAGAAAAGCAGTAAAACACAAGTAAAAAAACACAAATAAAAAATATAAAGTATTTAAAAGAAAAGAAAGAAAATTGCGCATTTTAAAATTAATTATTTATGAATTAGTTAATTTAGGGTTAATCATAAATTATTTCAAATTTCCTAAAAATAATATGTAGATGTTATTGTAATTTTAATAAGACAAATAATCCTATATTGTTGATCGAAACGAATCTTAGTGCTTAATAATATTCATATGAAAATTTTATAAATACAGAGTAGAATTTATATTAATTTTATTATGGTGTATTTCTTTGAAGTATTTGAATTCAATGTACTACTTTTTTTATTAAATATTTAAAACACAATTCACCCTATTAGACAAAATTCGAAAATTTCGACTTGTGTCACTTTTTTGCAGTGTAGAGGTGCGACATAAGTATTATTGTGTGCTTTGTATTCTGATAAAGTGATATCTATAGAAAGATAGAAGATTCATTATTTTTAACAAAGCTGGGAAAAACTAAGTGTTTATTTCGCTTCTTTAGAAATCTCTTTTCTCTAAAACCAACTACGCCCTCTACTTAAAAATTAAATGCTTGTTAATCCACGTGTTGAAAGTTCGAATTTAAAATTCTAATTCCGTAATAATACGAGTGTATTTGGAATATAAATCGATAAGGGCGTCACTGTGTGTGTGTGTGTGTGTGTTTGAAATCTGAAAGATACGCAAACGCCAATCGTTTCTCATTAATAACCTCACTCGTTTTCCCCGAAATCAATACAGCATCTCAGAGAATCCAACGTACTTATTGACTTATATTCTTGGGACTGAATCAGCTGTCGTTTGACTTTATCGCACCCCTACGTGAATTCTTTTGAAGTACCACATGTGGGGTAGTTTCTTCACACGTGCGATTGTTCCAGCCGCGAGAGAAAGAATGAGGAGGAAGTGTACTCCTACTCCTACAGTGGCACGAGGAAGAAGCCAAGATACCCCCCATCGTAACTCTGGATGGACATACGCGACCGGTAACGTCGAGTGCCATGCACAAGATTTGCCAAAAAGCAAAGAACATGTATGTGACGGTACATACCAGTGGCGTCGGCCGCATGGGGGTAGTTCTCAGCTGCTATCCGCCGTGAAACCAGCGAATCGGGGGTCGCAGACCCCCTTGCGGACAGCTGCCAGATCGTACACCTTCGACGTTTCGCTCCCTCCCAGTCGTTACCCCGTCGCGAGTAACCTACCCCTCGCGCAATTTATTGCATGACGCACATGGAGTAACAGCTTTTTACCGATCGTTTTCTCGCACCTCAATATCGACATCGCATGACACACAATTCATAGCGATTTCTCTTATTCGAATTTTAATCGTGTCTACGATCAAGCGAAATTGTCTGTCCAACTATTTAGTCTCCCTTACATTCTTTAACTCTTTAGATGATCTTTGTTTTACTTATAGCCTAAATTATGAAGTCATCAAAATAATGACATAAAGATCTCAAGTACGATGAGCAACACTGCAAAAAGTTTTGACTTCTAGTTCGAGCTTACATAATTGTTTTGATAATTAGCAACATTATTTTCAAATTTTTAACTAGCTATTTTTTAATTTTTTCGACAAAACCTTTTCTTTCCATGTTCTATTAATGAGAGATTCATATCGAGATAGTAAAAAAAAAAACCTACAATCAGCGCTAAATATACAACTGTATTTTCTATAATGCTGTCAATGCGCTCTTATCAACGACCCAGCGTCATCCATGAATGATCGATATTCGTTCCAGACTATTAATCCCTTGTAACTCGTTTGCCAGGGGAGGAATGTGCCATGGAGATGCCTCTTCTATTTCATACCGAGACATT